AGGCAGGCAGGCAGGCAGACAGACACGCACACACACACACACACTTACTTTTGCTGCACTTTCCGACCCTCTCCACTTTTCCGTCTCCCCAAAACAGGCTCCCCACAGTCTTTTTTGCCTTCACGTTGATGGCGGCCGCTCCACAAGCGCTCGAAGGCCTCCCCGCGCGCGACGGCCGACTTGATCATGAAGCGCGCCTTGCCTCGGGGTCACAGGCAGTTTGGGATTCGTGGGCCTGAGGCGGCGTCGGCCCTCGTATCTTCCGCCTTCTGTGCCTTTAGTTACTTTAGTTTTAGGCCCTACACTCGATGCGCCTCGCCGACCGGCATACAGGCGGCAATGGTGGCAGATATACACCATGCTACGCCACTGAATATGCACCAAGCTCTGCTGCGCTAATGTCAGCACTGGTTGCGTGCTGTGGAGACCATGGTGGCCGAATCGCTGATCTGCCTCCGGACCTAAGCACTCGAAGCTTCTTGCGAGCGAAGGCTCCTGTTCTCTCAGAGGAAACGCGGAGCCGTCTTCGGAAAAGGGGCATCGTTGATCTTAAACTCTCCGGACTGGGCGAAGAGGAATCCTCGGCTGAAGTTTCTCTGCCTCACTGTAGCCGTGGCAAACTTGAGCTTTTTGTTTCGGCAACTGCAGTGCTCTTCTGCACCTACAGGCCATTCTGGAGCCTATCATAGAAATAGGAGACAGCATCCGTCCACAGCCCCGAAGATGCAGCATGTTGAAGAACCTGGAATACCGATACCCGAAAACCTCGACTTCGAAGATGCATCAACTTCGACGCGAGTTGCGAAGGCCACTGGCAACTCCTATGAGCAGCTTCGATCCTTGGCTGATCCAGGCAGGGAGTGTTGTCAGGAGCTCGGGACGGGGCGTCCTCTAACTCTGGCAGACTCTGGCACCTGGCGGATCCTGGCGGCCTTCAGCATCCTCCGGTTTAGCTTCGCAAGGGTTTGCTACGCAAACGAAGCCCAAAACATGAAGCTCCAAAACCTAACGACAGCTCAGCGTCTCTGCTTCGGAGGGATGTTTCGTGTGTCCAGCATCACCGTCTCGGTCGCGAGATTTGTGAGTGACGCAACGAGCCGGCTAGCAGGGACAGTGTATGAACGGTTTGACCTCTCCCTCCCTTGACCGGGCCGGGCACCCAATATAAGCACAGACATGCTGAACGATGAGCAGCTGCCGGTGCCGGCGGCAGTGGCAGTGCTGGTGGAAGGCGGCGGCAGCGGCGGTGGTGGGGATGATGGGGGGGATGGCGATGATGCTGCAGAAGAAGATGATGATGATGATGATGATGACGACGAGGATGATGAGGTGACGATGATGATGGTGATGGTGACGGTGATGGGGAGGATGATGATGATGAGGATGAAGAGGAGCAGCAGGAGGGGGAGGAGAATGATGATGATGAGGAGGAGGTGGATGATGAGGATGATGGTGAAATGATGATGACGATGATGATGAGAATGACGAGGATGATGAGGTGATAAGGATGATGGTAGTGATGATGATGAGGAGGATGATGAAGATGACGATGAAATGATGATGAGGATGATGGTGAGGATGAGGATGAGGACGAGGATGAGGATGATGTGGATGAGGATGATGATGACTGATAGCACGGATGCCCATGGTTATCCTGATGGCGATGGCGATGGTGATGATTACGAATGATGATAATGATGATGGCATTGATGATGTTGGTCATGATGATGTGGATGATGACCGACATGACGATGATGATGACGTTGCTTGAGCCCCCTGCTTCGCCGTGGCGGTGCACCAACATGCCTCGGACGGCAGGAAACATTACCCCGTCCAGTCCCTACACCTCCAGGGCCAAGGCAGCCATACTCAGGAACATGCCCCGGAGATGCGACAGCCCAAACGAAGCGCTGCAAAGGTGCTGTGTGACCCTGGGAAACGGCGCAGCAGACCCAGGAACACCTGAGTTTGGGATGATCGGAAATTCAAGAGTAACAGCAATCCCGAATCGCTCAATCCTTCACGAAAGGTCCGCCAAGTGCAAACCTGACAGTCGGCTCCCAAACCTCGCGCCCCTGAGCTTTCACTCTGTCTCCAAACCGAGACGAGGTGCACTTCCACATCTGCTCGGGCTCCCGGTTTGAAACTGCAGTCGCAGGTTTTCATACAGACTGAATACCACAGAAGCTTTGCTCAGCGTCAGTGAAAGGCTTTGAAGCTTCTCCGAAGACTGCAGTCACTGTAGTGTCGCCAGCACTTTTAGTCTTCTGGTATCATGAATGATTTCGACCTACCACATCAACATTACCAGAACAATCACATCAACTGTGCCGAGCTCGTCCCCTACATGAGAAGCGAAGCAATTTGATTCCGGTAACTCCGAACACACATCCGCATAAATGTCCTAAGCTTCGAAACTGCTTGAGGTTGCAGCACTTACATTGGGACGTTCCAATGGGCTAGTTGCATTCAGCTCTGCTTTTCAAATTTTGAGCGGGGCTCGGACATCAGGCTGGTGACGTGTAGCCCAAGCACCGTTTGCAATGCAGGGCAGTGCCTCTGAGATGCACACATTTTAAGGCTGCTGTCGGCTTTTCAAACGTTCCCGCCCACGCTCCTTCATGTTGTAAGGCAGGGCCCAACCTGCAGTAAACCGTCTCAACTGCTCCAATCACTGACCACGAGGTGTACTTACATGCTGTTACATTACTTCCTCTGCGATCTACGACGTCCTGTTGACCGGGATGTGTACAAGACTATACTCACAAAAGTCTGGAGGCTTAGAGCACATCCTGCAGGAAAGGCACGGTTGTCTATCAGCTTTAAGCAGCCCTTCAGCACGATGAGCAGGCCACCTCAGCCAAAGTCGCAGAAGCGTCCCAGAAGAGCTTGAGCCCGAAGCAGGGAGGCAATCCGATTTTGAACCTTGCATCCTGAATTCCGACCCTGGCGAACCCACCCTTGCAAGCATCACCGAGCTGCTCAATCCGACAAGCACGTCGCCGACAGCGAATCGATCCAGAAGTTCGTCGATTACGACGAGGAACGGCTGCGCCCTTGGCAGGTGAAGCTTGGAGGATCCCTCTCCACAGAAAGGATTGAAGTGGCACCGGCTTCGCAAATCGAAATTTGCTGCTGCGGTCTAGTTTCACACCGTAAGCGATGCAACCAAAAATAACGGTGCCAAAAATAGCTTCAGAAGGTACCCAGTGCAGAAGCCGCTTGACCCTGCACGTAAGATTCTCTATGCTGCCCCTTGAACCCCTGTTGTCTCAGATGCCTCAGCGCCTCCTCGGACACTGTGCTGGGCTCCACCCTGAACCACGCTTTGGGGTTCAAGGGGATGCATCAGGATTTGAGATTTGGCTTCCGGTTGGTTTAAGGTTTCCCGGTTGCTGGGGCTTTGAGTGTGACAGATGTGCCCAGCCGACGACGGCACAGGATGATGCAGGCATTGCTAATCCGCACGGCATGCACCCGCGATCGCCTTGGGAGAAACTGATTGCGAAGGTCCATGAAGGGCCCTCACAAGCTGAAACTATTCTTAAACAAGTCCAAGCATGGCCAGGCCAAGACTCACTTCGACCGCAAGAGCAAGACCATACTCGCAAAAACCAAAGGCTCACCGGAAGTGTTCGCACCGAATCGCGCGGATCCCTCCCACCCACACGTGCGCACACAGACACACACCCACACGCACACACAAAGACGACGCACACGCCATCGAGGCATGAGCAAGGGAGTGCAGCGAGCACGGCAGGACATCATGCGCGGAATCCCAGCTTTGTTTCCTGAGGGGGCCCCCAACCCTCAAGCAAAGACTTTAAGGCTTCAAAGGTTTAGGACTTGGTCCATTGCAGCTTTCAGCTCAGGAGCCAAGTTGTCAGGAAGAGCAGCAGCGAGAGGATTCCCAAGATGCCCGAGATAGCCTTGGTCTCTGCTCCGACTCTCGTCGCACAGGAGTCAAATCATCCCCCCTCGAAGCGGCAGAAGCCTCAGAAGCCCCAAGGCCTCAAAGTCTAGGGCGCTCTGTCAAGACTTCGGTCCCCAAGCTCATCTCAAGCCCAGCAGCTTCCTTGAGCAGGAGCACGGCATCCTCTGCAAAGCGTATGGCTAGCCCATTGGGCATCAGTGTCTGGAACCACGGGGGTGTGACAGCTACTGCCCCATGATGTCATTCAACGAATAATCACAGAGACTTCTTCACCTGAAACGCCATTCTGGGAAATCACTTCAACACGTTTCTCCAAACTCTCATATCTACCCAAATCGGAGAAGAGCAGCTGCGCTCATCCGCGTGTAGGGCGCAAACCCTACCAAGAGTGACCTTGGCTGCAGCAAGGCTCGACCTTTGCCATGGCAGCTTCGCATGCCTGCACCTGGCTCAAGATCTGAGACTTCTTCCATCTGACCTTAAATTCCAAACCCCACCTCATGTGTACGACAACATGCTATCTGCAATGCCCCCACCTGAACATCCCAACCCCACACAGCGCAAAGCCTTCCTCAGGCAGCAGATCACACTTCGCCAAGAGACGAGTATGTGAGTTCCAAGACTGCCAGAACCTGTGTCAGAAGCGATTCTTCAAACTCCGCACTCTGTTGTCTGATGTTGTATGAAGGTTTCAAGGCCGCAGACACAAGGTTTCAGCTTTTACCCCGACCCTTCGCTCGGAGCTTGCTGGCCTAGCTAAGATTGGTCGCTTGCAGCGATCGTGACCACTACTTTGAGACCCGTGTCAAATGTCCCTGCCTGGCATGCAAAGTTGACTGTCAGGTCGCCAGTGCTCAACCAAAAAATGAAGGAGTACACGCCTCAGATGGGCAGCTTTGGGACATTCCAGACAGAGTAGAGCAGGGCTTGCGGCTGTCTGGCAATGTGATGATTCCAGGTCCAACCGCCTCTCGCCTACTGGTAAGTCTTGCAGCGCAGGACTGACAACCCATCCTGCGGCTTGACGATCCCCAGAACGAGAGAGACTCCCAAACTTTGCGATCAGACACAACTCCAAGCCACAACGTGCGCTGCCTGTGAGGCGAGATGCGAAAATTATCCAGCACGCGCCAGTACCTGCGCAGGACAACACCGCCCTCGAGTATGTTTTGATTAACATGGGTTCTTTGCGCTCTGATGATTTGGATATTTTCTGTCCTGCATGTATCCTGGATCACCTGAAGGCTTTGAGCCGCCCCTCGCTCGGGGCACCACATGTTCGGAATGAGCTTTAGGTGAAGTAAGCCCAAACTTTCCTGGCGAGCAGACGAGCAGAGATGCGTTCCACATCCCGAAGCTTCTTATGAGAGCTCTCAATTTTGACCACCCCACCACCACCACCACCCCCGCCGCCGCCACAACCACCACCACCACTACCACGAGCATTATAAAACACAATGTTTTTTGTTACTACTACATTATTTTTCATATTATATAACTGTGCTTTCATTATGCGTTCAATATTGTTATGGTTAATGCATTTTATTGTGTCTTTAGTAATAAAGATGAATACTACCTCAAGAAATGCAAAGAAAAACAACCACCAGCCCCCCCTCCCGCGAGGGCGTCTCCCCTGCCCCTTCACCGGGGTTCCGGCAGACGGTGCATCTACATCACCTTCTTCTTGCACTTCTGGGCAGGAAATGCCTCGAACCAAATCCTTGTATCCTGCATCTTGAGTGACACAGCGGGTCCTGCACGTGCAGGTACTTTGCTTCCTCGGTGCTCAAACCGTGGATTCGCAGCATCGCAGCTGTACATATCAAACCACTTAGCATTCTGGTCGATCTGTGCGTGCAGAGCGTATTGGCCCTGGCCCTGAAGTCAGCGAGAAAGAACGCAGAGCTTGTGACGCTCTTAGTATGCTTGGGCGACGATGGATTCAGGCAAGAACCCTCGCAGCAACAGCCAACTCTGGCCAAGCTTCTTTCAAAGTTCTCCAGTGAAGCAACGTCTCGAGCAACAACACCACCATGCAGATGATAATCACGAGACTTTGGAGTAGGTTCCTGAGCTTTAGCCAAGGCCAATCAAGGAACAGTTTTTGGTAGTAGTAGTAGTAGTAGCAG